ATATATATATATATATACATATATATATATATATATATATATATGTATATAGATGTGAGTTATTAATTTTACAACTCTTTACATTTGTACAACCAATACGAATTAAATCAATCTCAACCGTCCATTTAATTTGATGAGTATGTGGTTTCATAGAAGTTTTGATTGTTTTATAATATAAAGTATTAATCATAATTAATGAACCATATTCATCTTCCATAAATATCAAAATCATAATAAATAAATTCAACATTTCCTTAAATATCTCAATTGATTGTACAAATATGATAGTTGCATTTAAAACGTCATATATATATATATATATATATATATGTGTGTGTGTGTGTGTATGTGTGTATGTATGTATGTATGTATATATAATCATTTTTGTTAGCCTATAAACCCAATTTTGTTATAACAATGTAAATTTTAAGTATATTAAAATACTTTGCATTTTTAAATGACAAAAAATTGAAAAGGATTATATGGATTTTTGAATTACGAAAGATGATTTTTTGTTTGTATTATAAACATGGCCAAAAATTAGTCTTGGACCGGGCGGGACCCATAACCGGTCCTGATTCAGGCCAGGCCGGTCCATAGAAACATCCAAAATCAGCAACTGGTCCCGAACCACGGTCTCATAACCGATCCCGACTTATAATCTTATAACCGGTCCCGGGCAAGGCCGATCCCATTTCGGTCCTCAGGAAGTCCCGGGYGAGGCCATAGCCATCTCTAGTGTATATATACATTATCATTCCTTATTATGTATTTCACGTTTATAAGAACAATCATGTCTCTTCTTGCACTCATCTTTGTCTTCCTCTTTAGACATTCACTCGCAACCTCAAAAGATGCGCAAGAAAACTTCATCCGATGCCTACTCAATTCAAATGAACTTAATACTCCGATTGCCGTAGCAATATACACTCCGGCCAACTCTTCCTTCCCCACCGTGTTGCAAGCCTACATCCGTGACCTCCGCTTCAACGAACCCACCATTGCGAAACCGGAGCTAATCGTTACTGCATTAGATATTTCGCACATTCAGGCCTCCGTCATTTGCGCTAAACAACACAACTTGTTGATGAAAATCAGAAGCGGCGGTCATGACTATGAGGGTCTATCGTTCGTCGCCCAAACCCCATTCTTTATCCTGGACTTGTTCAACTTTCGATCAATCGAAGTCTCCATTGAGGAAGAGACGGCATGGGTTCAAGCCGGTGCCACCCTCGGAGAACTTTACTATAGGATATCCGAGAAAAGCAACACTCATGGCTTCCCAGCCGGAGTTTGCCCTACGGTTGGCGTTGGTGGTCATTTCAGCGGTGGAGGATACGGTAACATGATGAGAAAATACGGTCTTTCTGTTGATAACATCATCGATGCTCAACTCATTGATGTCGATGGAAAACTTCTGGATCGAGAATCAATGGGTGAAGATTTGTTTTGGGCCATCACTGGTGGCGGTGCAGCAAGTTTCGGAGTCGTTATTTCATACAAAATAAACCTAGTCCTCGTTCCAGCCAACGTAACTGTCTTCCAAGTAATACGAACATCGGAACAAAACGTCATCGACGTTGCCCACCGGTGGCTACAAGTCGCCGACAAGTTAGACAACAATCTATTCATCCGAATGATCTTGGACGTGGTCAACGACCCAAATGGTGCTAAAACAATACGTGCTTCATTTCCCAGCTTGTTCCTCGGTGACACCACAACCCTAGTAAGTCTCATGGACCAAAGCTTCCCAGAGYTAGGGTTACAGATTTCAGACTGTACACAAATGAACTGGACCCAATCAGTTCTTTGGTACTACAGCTTCCCCCCTGGTTCACTAGACGAAACCCTACTCAGCCGAATTCCACGAGTTCTTACTCACGAGAAAAGAAAATCCGATTATGTAAAATATCCCATCTCAAAACTAGGATTAGCGCTCATCTTTGATAAGATGATTGAGTTAGAACGTCCAAGTTTAACTTTCAACCCTTACGGTGGCCGAATGAGTGAGATCTCCGAGTTCGCTAAACCATTCCCGCATCGAGCTGGGAACATCGCATTGATTCAATACCGATTCGATTGGAGTGAAGATGGGGTTGAAGCAGCAAACCGCTACGTAAACCTGGCTAGGGTTTTGCATGAATACATGACTCCATTTGTGTCAACGTTTCCCAGAGAAGCTTTCTTGAATTACAGGGATTTGGACATTGGTGTAACTGACAATGGGAAGAACAGTTATCTGGAAGGAAGTGTTTATGGGATCAAGTACTTCAAAGAGACCAATTTCAGAAGGTTGGTGAAGGTGAAGACCATGGTGGATCCTGATAACTTCTTCAGAAATGAGCAAGGTATCCCAACTTTGCCTTCTTTGAGGAAGTGAATTGAATTGAGTGATTAGCAGCTTGCATAATTGGATAATTAAGGATGTAAGGCTTCATGATCATCATTTCAAAGATAATTAATTAGAATAATATGTACTAATCATTAATTTAATACATAAAATAGAGTTTAATAATTAGTTAATATATATATATATATATATATATATATATATATAGAGCAAATAAAAAGTTACTAATTTCAAGTGGTCGATTTTTAAGTTTCTATCTCCAATTCAACCACTAAAAAACACATTAAACACGAAGAGTAATTGAGTTTGACTCCAAAGGTTAAAAAGTATCTGGAGGTCCCAGGTTTAAATCCAAGGAGAAATAAAAAATTCTCTTGTGGCCACAGATGTTCAAATGCAGTGACTTCGGGCTATCTGCAAAGCAGGTGGTCGTCATGGAATTAGTCGGCTTGCATAGCGAGTTGAATATCTAGGTTAATAAAAAAAAAGCACGAAGAGCAATTCCAAGAGATTCTTTAAAATTTCTTCAAAATTTCTAAAAAGTATTGCATTCAACTCCAATAACTTCTCCATTTTAGAAATTATAACATTTATTATATTATTAAAATATTTCATACATTCAGTAAAATATTATTTCTCTCGCTTAAACATTTAATTTCAGGATCTCTTATTGGTGGAATATAATAAAAAAATGTTTCATTCTTGTAGTATTCCTTTTAGAGAGCGATTCATCTTTGCCGAAGGCAAGATACAACTCTCTGTTGTACTATACTCTCCAAGTGTGCTTTTAGAGATTTTTTCCAAATTTGGAGATCTTTGTATCCCCTCTCTTACTTTATCCATTTTTAGAAAGTTTTGAGAAATCTATTGCAGTAAAAAATTGCTTAAAATTTCTATCTTCTTCGTTTTAGAGAAGCTGTTAGAGATGTTCTCAAAAAAACCCAACTCCAACTACATTAGAAAAAAATATTAATATATATTTTTAGATATCTATTTTATTGATTTTAAAAATATAAAAGCCAACATTTTAGACCTTTATTTTTTTTAGTGTTTTAATGTTGTGTTGAAGATGAAAACACCTCCAAACATGTCATCAGTATATATATATATATATATATATTGATTGGTACTTATATTATCATCATATTAATTATTAAAAAATAATACCACTACCATACCAATAATTCAAAATTGTTATTGACTAGTACTTTACTTTGTTAAAATTGATATAATGCATTATAACAAAATCAGTTTTATAAAACGCTTTCAATTTTTAAGTGTTATAATAGATCTTTTTATAGAATTAGGACCAAAAAAATAAAATTTCTTATCTAAATGCGTTATAATAAGTTTATTTGACATTTTTTGACGTCGTAATAAGTTTTTTTTAATATAAAACGTCTCATTAGCAACTTTATAAGACATTATTTGAAAAACTGTCTTATAAAAACAAGTGTTCTATAAAAAATTGAGTTTATAGGACATTTTCTCAAAAATGTCTTTTACAATTTTTAATGTGACGCTTTGTATTAAAAATGTCCTAAAAAACTTGTTAAGACTTCCAAAAACGTCATAAACGTATTACAACACATTTAGATAAGGCGTTTTATATTTTTGGTCCTATAAAATGAAGTCCTATAAAGCGGTCTATTGAGATACTTAGAGATTAGGGACGTCATATAAACCTAATTTTATTATAGTGATATTAGTTGGTTTGGTACAAATTCAACATGCACTTCATAATATGGACCTAATTAATGTTTTGTTTTCTTTAGCCATGTTGTCTAAGTTTGCTAATTAACCTCTTAACTAGGTAATATATGATATTCATGCAAAATATTGTTTTTTTATAGATTAGGTAAAGCTTGATATTAACAAAAATGGTGTGGGCTTGGTATGGTGTGGTGACCAAATTTTTTTTTTTTTTTTTGCGTTTCAGTTTTGTTGGATGTGGTTTTACACCTAAACTCTGTACTTATTTTATTGATTTTATAAATTTGTTTGGTTTCTTTTTATTAAAAAAAAACAAAAATGGTGTGTGGTTTACAAAAATAGAACCAAGGTATAAACAATACTTAATTTTATCTGATGTTAAGAAAAACAAAATACGTAATTATAGGTCTTATCAATGTAAGATTAAGACGAACGCTATATTGTATGAAGAATTGAGATAAACAATATCAGGGGCAGAACACAACGCTTCTAACTTAGCCGACTAAAACGAGTCAAGTCAAGCAGTAGGGGACGGAGGATTTTTGCCGAGTGGTTGCACCTTTAACTTGGATCAAATGCCCGCAAAGCCGCTTGATTTGTAATTAGACGAATTCCGGCTTCGGGGAAATTTTTTCGTTTTTCGGTTGATTTCAATGGAATTTTTTCAGTTTTTTTGGTGTATTTCAAAAGATTTTTTGGTTTTTGGTATAGACTAATAGAAAGACTCAGAACAAGCTTTTTAATTAATTACAATGGCAGAATGTAATCTCTTATATAATATATATTTTCAAATATAAAAAAGTACATCATTTGAAGTTATAACTGATAACTAATACATACTGAAACTCTAAAATAAGACGTTAAATATTAGATATGAAAATGTTAAACATGGCTTATCAAAAGTGGCCTAGACAACTTGTACGGACGTGCAAAAACATGTTATTAAGGGGTTATTTGTTTACCTCTTAATAGTTCAATTAAGAGGCAACCTCTGAATCATTAAGATGTGAATCTTGTTTGGCAAAAAAAAGTCTACCACTTAATGGTTCTAAAATCATCTGAATGATTTTGTATCATGAGTCTCCCTTAACCATTCAGTGCCCTAATTTCATTGTAAATAATTACCAAACAATTATATTTCATTTTGCACTATATTATGAGAGCCTCTTAATCATTCTAACCACTTAATCATTTTGCACCAAACCATTCAGCAACTGTCGAACAACTTCTAACTTATTGCAACGCTTTTATACAAAAAGCATAACGTATGGACCACAATTGATTTCTTTTATTTTAGTTAATCTATTACTTTTCTTGGTCTAATCAGGAGTGCAACATCTTTTAATGGACGGGTCTAAAATAAAAAAATTATTGAAATACATTATTAGAGTAAACTATGTGTATTAAGCACTCAAAAATTCATCGGGGGCCATGGCCCCTAAAGGCCCTTATGGTCATCTGCCTATGAATAGGCTCAAAGGCATTTATCAGTATATGATATTGACGAAGAGATTATTGTTCTAACGGAATCGAATAACTTAACTCTATTTTTTAAATTGTGAGTAATATTTTTAAAACTACATGTGTTGATTTCTTATTTTTTAAGCCTTTAGATGAGTTGACTTTTTAATGTAACTTGATTTTTTGACTATTTTCAGTACATTCATCTACTTTCAATTATCTTCAACCACTTTTATCTACCTTTATCTTCAAATTTATCTTCAGTTTTAAGTCATTTTCTCGAACTTGTACATATATTTAGTCATTTTTATATGCATGAATTTGTTAAAGTTTTGATCATAGTAATAAAAGTAGGTAAACAAAGATAGTTGAATGTAGATGAATGTATATCACCGTAACACTTTTTTCACCGTAACACAACTGAAAAGCATAAATAAGATTAGGGGTGCTCATGGGTTGGGTTGATCGGGTTGAAGACATTTGAACAACTCAACTCAATGCTTGCGGTTTGAAAAAATTTAACCCAACCCAACCTAAACCAAAGTGCAACCCAACCCAACCCAACCCAACCCATAATTTCTTCTAACCTTGAATATGTTATTTCTCTACTCATAATTTCTTTTTCATCATCAACCATTTGATACAACTTATCCATATTTCTTACATATATTACATTCAGTTAATTTTCTCAATTTACATATATATGTTCACAGTTACTGAACATATATACGAATGAGTTATATAGAGATGTGAATAGATTGAAAATATGAAAAACATACATGATAGTGTAATTGTCTAATGTATATATTAATAGAAATTTAACAATCATATTAAATCCAAGAAATAAAAAGATATCGGTTTCATCAGGTTGGGTTGAGTTCAAATAATTGTAACCCAATATCAACCCAATACCTACGGTTTAGCAATTTTACAACTCGATTAGACATAAGGTTGCTTCGGGTTGGATTATTTCACGATGGATTGGGTTGAATTGATCGAGTTGGTCGGGTTTTTGAACACCCCTAAATAAGATTATAAGAAGATTAGGAAGAGCATGGATTGGTTTTAATTGCCATAAAACAAAATTTTGGTTGGGTTTAAATATGATATAAATGACTATATGTATATAACTCATTTGCGAGTACAACCTTGAGGTACGTAGAATGGTCGTTTGATACAAATTATGTTTCAATAACAATTTTTACATTCAAATAAAATATAAAGCTGAAGTAAATAGTTTGGGAGGAGATATACAAACACTGATATTTAAAGTAGTTTATCATGGGTAGGTAGCTAAGCCATCTTCCGAGTGTACTTCTTGAAATACACGATCTAATATATGATGTTATTCTTTATAACAAACTGAAATCGTATTATGCTGATGAACATCTTTTGTTATTCTAAGCAAGTGGGTGGATCATTCGTACAAAACGAAATTGTTGCAAGATCTTTATCAATCTATGAGATCAAACACTGATCTGAATGTAAAATCTGTCTTTGAATGAATTGACTTTTAACGTAACACACTTTTTTGGAAGTTCAAAATGGTTAAAAGAGACTTTCTGAGTGCTCAAGTAAGATGCATAAAGTAAAGATGGTTGGATAATTCATAAATGGCAACATAAGTATAAAGAAAGTGTTTTCATCTTCAATCATAAAAGGAACGTAGAAAGAAAATTGCATAGAAACATTTGTATCATATATATATATATATATATAGAGAGAGAGAGAGAGAGAGAGAGAGAGAGAGAGACGGGATCAAATGAAAACCGTCTAATTCTTGGAAACCGTGTAAACTGATTTCGACCAATAGGAAAATTTCTTTTTTTCTTAATTAAATTTAATCATTAAGAGTA